GATTGCATTTTCTTTTTTTGTACAATTTTATTAAAGGGAAGATTCACTGATCCTACCGTCGTGCTTTCTCAACGCTTCGGCGCGGCGAAGCATTGTCATTTTTTAATCTTCGTTTTAATTAATGTATATAAATAAGTTTCTAGGAGTATGAAGAAGACTAGTATCTGTGTTTTCTATCGTCGAGACGAGTTCTCGAGACGCTGTATTATTTTTCTCATTTTCTCCTAACACTCAGAAACAGATACTACCTCTAATCTATCCGTTCCTGGCTACCACTAAAATCTCGTTACACCGTTTCTTTGTACAGCAATTCATTTCTTCTTGCTCCGCAGATATCTACGTATATATAACAGAGTGTCCAGTGAAACGTGCAAGTGTCACCGACGAACTCAACGCGCGGAATTCAATAGAGAGAATATTTACAATCGATCGTTACAAACCCCCCTTCGTCTCTTCTTCGACACGCGAGATTTAACCACACAAATCGAAAGGTACATCCTTCCGCAAAAACAGAAAAACGGATCGTCAATTTCTGTATTCAATTCTGCGCGTTGAAAATTCTGTTCCATCGAACACCCGCGGCGAACACTTTCGACGAGGTAAAACTAAACTAAATTATTCGAATCGAGATTGCAATTTGAATATTGTACAATTCGAGAACGAGGGATTCATCGATCGCCCGGGACGACGCGTTTCTTTTTTTTTGCGATTGTCGCAAATCAAATTCCCCAAGAGAAGTGTTTTACATTTTCAAGTTCGATGATCAAATCAGAGGAGAAAACAGAAGGAACAAAATAAAGAGAGCCCTGGTTTCACCGTGAATCCATCGGGAATCGTGGCTTGGCGAATAGGCCTGCGTACGCAATCGGAGAACACGTTCGTAGAGAACGATTGTTTAAAAAGTCGGAACAAGAAGATGGATGGATGGGGGAATTTGTCCGTTGTTTTCATCGGGGAAATATTGTGGGGGGAGGAGGGAAGGGGCAGGGTAAAGGGGAAGTTGTGCACTCGTGACGAAGAATAAGACGCGAAGACGATGGGTCTCGCTTAGATTTGAGCTTGACTTACGCTAGCCACTAGTTTGTAATAGCCTACCGATAAAGGTATCGATTACGAGTAAGTATAAATTGTAATTACAGTGTACAATATACAGGGATAGATCTTCTTTCTCGCCTGCGTCCCAAAAAATCGAACGGTCAATTCCTCCGCGAACGAACATTATCAGAGCGTATCCTTCCTAATATCAATACATAATCATCTTCGAGCGGAGTTCACCTCGAGTGCCTTAACGTGTAAGAAAAAATGCGCTCGTTCGTGGAGGAATCGCGGCGTTGATAAATCCCAAGAAGAAAATCAGCTTCTTCTTCTTCTTCTCGTTTCAGGGAACGTTTCCTTTCTTTTACTTTTTGCGCTTGAAGAACGGAGAATATACCTTGGAAAATGATCCACTCTTTTGTTCTTCGTTTCTCTTATCATCTCTACTTTGTTTCCCTTATCTCCGTTTTAAAATCTACGCTCGTCTCTTCTCCCTTCTTCGCTCGTTAAATTTAAACGTTACAAGAATCAATATGAGTATGTTCTGAGTTGTTTCTTTTTCGGTTTCGCAGCTCCTATGAGAACACACGCCTGGCAACTACGTGCCAATAGCGTTCGTTTTATAATCCCTTCTCTCTCTCAACTCCTTTTGTGCTCGAACGATAAATCGACGTTACTATTCGATCCCCTAATTGTTCTTATCAGCGTTATTTACATGTACCGGCGCTCGCACACGCAAAACGAAACAATCGAGAATTACGCGATTTTACACCATTTTCTATCTGGCTTTCTTATATACCTTTTTTTTTCTTTCTCGCATTTTACGCCTGTGCAAACTCGCTTCGCGTTTTAGCCTAAAGGAGACCTAAATTCTAGCGACAGAGAGATTAGAGTTTCTCTCGTTCGAAACGCAACTCTCAACGACAGCCTCTAACCCGTCGTTGTGCCTCTAACTACGTATAGAAAAGAACGAAAAACAAGAAAAAAAAAAAGAGAAAGAGAACGAAAGTATAGCAGAAGTGTGTTGAAGAAGTATTACAGAAGAAACAGTAAAGAAAAAAAAAAAGGAAATAAAAAAAGAACATCTTTGTCATATTTGGCTATTTCACACGACTCTTTGTGTTATCTCTTAATTCCCCTCGTTATCTTTTTCTTCTCTCGTTCATCTCTCTCTTACATCGCTGTGTATTTATCGTAACCTTCTCTCTCTCTCTTTCACTCTCAAAGTTCCCATTCACACGTGTCTCACTCGCATACCTGTCCACTTACGCTCCACGCTGAGTCACGCAACGACTTACCTATATATTTATTTATATATACATATATATGTATGTATATATATATGTATATACTTATTACGATAAATCTCCACTTAACTAGAATTTTTTTTTCTTCTTTAAACAGGGATTATCACTCACTCGGCTCAATATGTGCGTACCATTTCCCCTCTCGCTTGTATCTTTCGTTTCTTCTTACCCCTTCTCTCTAGGAGTATTATATTCTGTTTCGTATGTGTGTCTCTTTCTGTGTGTGTTCGTCGGCGAGTTTCTCTCTCTCGTTTTCTTTCCCTTTCACGCTGTGCTTTTTTCGTTCGTCTTCGATGAAGAAAAGATGCGTCTCTGATCGAGAGTCGCGATCGAGAACAGCCGTGTAAGAAAGTCGAGGAACTTAAAATACACGAAACGAACGTTTGGAGTTCGAAGTAATTAGTACACACGGGTGAATTGAATGTGAAGTAATGTAGAAAAGGGATTTGCAAATGACACTGAGAATTATCGTAGAGGAACTTGAAAGGAGAGAGAAATACGTTCAGAATTGAAAGGATCAGTCTATCAATTTCAGCGTTCTCGATCGGTCCGACCCCGAGCCTCGTCGCGATTGTGCATTCGGCGAATTTAGCCGAGTCTCACCGTGGTTCACGAAGGAAAGTCGTCGTGCAGACACCGGGATGATCGAGGAATTGGAACGAGCCGCTTTGCTCTCGCACGCGTACAAGGATCGAATACTAATTCTACAGGTTCGCTATGCACTCTCCATCTCAGCGCGAGCCTACAAACACTCGATCATCAATGAACGTACTATCGAAGAATTTTCCAATTGCTATCTTGAAACCCTCCTCATTTCCAATTCCTCCGTCAAAAGTGTCCAGAAAATATAAAGAGAGCGTAATAAACCTCGTTCGAAGAGCTCCACGTCGTTCCCTTAAATTCTACCCATTCCCAAAAATAAAAACAAGAAAAAACAAGACTCCGCGTTTAAACTAAAGAAACCAACTGGCTAACGCGTTTCTACTTGGAGCATCGACGAGGTTAATGAGTATTAAGAAAAGCTGTGTCACCAAAGCTGTGTAATCTCAAATAGGAACCGGTGTAGAGACTGCTTCGGCTTAGAAGATCCTTCTCGTCAGAGTTGTGTCCGTGATTAATTCTACATTTATCTAACCGTTTCTCTCTCATCTACAGCCGCGCTTTCGCGAATCTACGCACACACAGCGCAACACAGACACACACGCATTTGGCATAGAAACCCTACCGGTCACATGTAACTGCCTCGTTGCTCTCGTCGCTTATATACTTTTTGTTTTTATTCAATCTTCACTCTCTATCCCTTATCTAGCTACCTATAAAAGGATCACACGCGTTCTGTCGCGGATCACCGAGTGTGTCGACCGGAAGTCGCGGTACAACACCTCGTCGACACGTTGGAAGAGTTCCTTTCCGGCAGCCATTTAGCGAGAGCGCGCGCACACCATCTCTCTTTCGCTCGTCTAATCGCACACGCGTTTGATAAATTGCCGTTTTATTTCCTCCTCTAACGATTACACGAATTATCCCGCTAGATATTCGCCGCAAAATTAAAACCGCGATTCGTCGAAAAGAGAGAAAAAGAAAAAAATGTAAAAAAAAAAATATATCCATAGCCCGGTGTTCCCCGACCAGCCACGAAAAATCAACCAATTATGTACAAAATTCCTTCGTGTATTGAACGTGTGTTATTCTCTCTTTCGTAACAATGATGCGTAAATAATGATTCAATTAAAAATACAAACCACAAGGCGGTTCCGTGATAAAATTACCCCTTCTCGTGAAAACGCGTTTAAAAACAGCTGTCTCTCCCTACTTTCCCCTCTTTCTTTCCTATCCGCCCGACGATTTTCTAGAAACGTGCACGAGCAACGAATTGCGTAAATTACAATTGATTTCTAGAGAGATCAATTAATCTATATCTATCTATCTATATATATGTATATACACATGTATATATACACGTACACCTGCTATGTTCGATACGTTCCACCCTCGTGATTTTCGGCCTCGTTCAGTCGGAATGGCTGCCGGGTCCGAACTCGAAGACGAACGGACATCTTAAAAGCGACGCGATACCACGTTTTTTAACATCATACAAAATACCTGCTATATATACTATTTTTCATCGTTCCAAATTCTATCGAGTATTTTTTTTCTCCTTTGACAAAAAACGAAAAAAAAAAAAAAAACAATCGATGCAGTTTGTTTGAACGTCGAACATGTATCGAATAATCTGAAGAGAATTTAACCATGGGTTGCCCTCTTTGTCTACTAATTCGGTTTACCAATTTCCTTCGTCTATCCGTAACACACACTCTCTCTCTACAGGTCGATTATCGATCAGGGTAGGAAAGTTCGACGACGCTTCGGTGAACCTTTGTCGTCTGGTCGACCGCTCGCAACCCTAATCGAGAACTATCCTCCCAGAACTTGAGGGAACGGCTTTAAATCGAATTCGAATTGAACCGTGTTCTTCCACGGTCCCTTTAACTCTACGATTCTCTGTTTCACAAGTAGTAGACAAATTGGTTTTGTTTAATTACTCTTTCGTTCGGGATTACTTCTGTTCGTCATCTTCTTAGGGACG